TATGTGTGGCCATCTCCTCTGCCTGGACCATGCTGACCTGCTCACATCTCCCAGCCCCTCCCCAGCAGCCCTATGCAGGCCCCACAGGGGGCTACACACTGCATCCAATCACGTTTCCTGCCTGGCTCTGAACCTCCAGCTCCCTCTGAGATATAAATAACGAATAGGAACCTCAGCGTGCCTCTCCCAGAACACAAGTGACAATAGCTCTGAGGTCCGGTGTGGTCACCGAGGAGAAGGAAGGGTTAAAGGGACAAGTTGAGTTGGTGGCATCCCTGAACTGCACCTGTCAAGAGCTACTTCCAGTTCTTCCCCGAAATCACCAGCCAGAGCATCCGTCAATATCCCCATAGAGCCGGGAGCCAGGCAGTCTCCTTCCTGTCACTCTGTGGGAAGCAGTCTTCAAATGCTAGCTTTTATTTGTGACATCTAGTCTCTCCACCAACACCATGACTTTACAAGGTCAGGGTGCTTCTTCTAAATCCCACGTACTCATTTCCTCTCCTGAGTACCAACACACAGCTGCATATATTGGGTGCTGGAAGTGTTTTTGCGTAAGTGGAGAACTCAGACCAAGTCGCCTTCGCCGGCCCTGCTTTGTGAACTGGGCCCACAGCCGCCCAGGCCTGCCCACCTGAGTGACCGTGAGTGAAGGAGACAAGTAGCCATGGGAAGGGACAGGTCAGGCCAACCTTGGAGCCAGAGCGCCAACGCTGACTCCAGGGCAGTGCCAAGCGGAAGGCTAGGGGTAAGGGGCGCCAAGAATGAGCTAGGATGAGCCGAAGCCCTGGGAGTAGCTGGTGGGTCCTGTGTTGGCCTTGGGAGCTAGGCTTAAAACCCAAGTTCCACCCAGCCTTCCCGGACAAAATCCAAGCTTCTCTCAAAGTTCTGCCCATCTTCCCAGCCTACATTTCAGCAACACTCAGCCCAAGCCACAGGCACCAGGTCCCAGCATGTGGATGGCTCGCCTCCCCTATCATCATCACTCCCCACAATGCGCTCTGGCCAGAGCAACTCTCCCCACTTCAACTGGAAAGCTGCTTGCTCTTGGAGGCCCGGGTTAAATGCCCTACGCTTTGTGCAGCCCCGCCAGCGCCAGCTCCGCCCTGCAGTCCTGTTGGCCCCTTGTTGCCACAGCCATCCTCACGCTGCTTCCAACAGGAACCAAGCGATCATCCCCCAACTCACCAGAGATTTCTCACTGTCTGTTTCCCCCTGGTAAGCCACAATTAAATGGAACTCACCCTCAAATGCACAGAGAAGCCCTGGGGGTGGGGGGTAATGCAGGACCCTGGAGATGCAGGAAAGAGGTCCGGACCGTTGGAGATCCCGTCCCCTGGCCCACTGTCCTCTGCTTCTTCCCCTGCCTCTCCCTGCACATGTAATGAACCAAACCCTTCACCCAGCCTTCCTGGCCCCCAATCGGGCCATGGGGTCGCCCACCTCCTGACCCTCTCTATAGCCCTCCAGGCTCCAACCACCAGCCGTCCTCGGCCATCTGAACGCCCAGCCGCCTTCTGTCCCAGGGCCTGAGCTTCGCTGCTCCCCCATCACTCCTTGTTCCGCGCCTTCTTGTCCTTCAGCCTCAGCTCACGTGTCACTTCCTCAAAATGTCAGAGTTGGGCAGAAAAAAATAGTGTAGATGATAGAGGCTCTGTTCATCCCTCTGGTGACCAAAGCAATGCTGTGACAGAAACAAGGAGCAAACAGCAAGGAAAAATTGCCTGGGATCTAGATGAACAAGTCATACAACTAGGGAGAAATCTAAGAAGTCACCCTGCAACAGCAGAAGGTAGAACGGGGTGAGAACACGAGGCTGCCCGGTTCCGAGTGGCTGAGTGGGACAGAGGCTGCGGCAGCCAGCAGCTGCAGACGCCTCTTAAAGGGGCCATGTCCATAAGTAGACTTTCATGGTGACAGACCTGCTTGCTTTGAGCACCAGTGCCGGTTAGGCTGTGCAGGGGGCACCAGGGACTTACAGGGGGACACTGAGTTGTCACAGTGAGGGCTGAGGAGAGATTCGCTCTATACAGAAGTGCCGGATGTATCCATTGTTCCCCTGTTGATCCCTTCCCTGTCCCAGTGCGTGAACTCAGCGCTGCCAAAGCAGAGACTTCATCAAACTGGATAACAGAGGTCGCTCTGCCCAGAGGATTCCCTGAAACCCTGCCTCCCCCAACTTGTGGTCCCACCCCAGCCACGTCCAGGTGTGTCCTCAGAGTCAGGTGCTCCTTGCTGAGCAGCACCTAGAATCTAATACTGGTTGCAGCTAGCCTTGGTTTCTGGTGTGGCCTTTTGAGGCAACTATAAGCACAGCATCTGTGGATTGCTTGCTGAATCTTAACAGGTGGTCCTGGAGGGGTAGAGGCTTGGGCTAAGTTTGGCCTACAGCTGAACCCCTCTCAGGACTGTGCCACTGGACACCTACTACACAAAGCCATGCTAATTAGACCAGGAAATTTAGGATATTTGCTTAGTACATAGAAACAGACACAGAAAGGCAGTCAAAATGGGAAGACAAAGAAACCATATGAGAGAACAGAACAGAGATCCAGAAATAATGGAGTCAAGCAATATAACAGATGCAGAGTTCAAAAAACTGGTTATTAAGATGCTCAATGAACTTAGGAGAAGTGTAGATGAATTCAGTGAGAACTTCAAAAAAGAGATAAAAAAAAATATAAAAATGGAAATGGAGATTATAAAAGAGAACCAGTCAGAAATGAAGAACACATTATCTGAGATGAAGAGTATATTAGAGGGAATCAATAGCTTGGATAAAGAAGATAAATGAACCACTACTATAGAGGATGGGGAAACCAAGGACACTCAATTGGAATAGCAAAACAGATGCCAAGACTATAATAATAATTTAAGGAGCCTATGGGACACTATTAAATGTAAAAAAATCTGTAG